GGGGGGGCGGGTTCTCCGTGCCCCTCCCACACGTATTTCGCCACTATCCCAACAGGCCCAGCGGCCTGGAGAGTCACGTGAGGGAGGGCGGTGGAGGTGGAGGTTTTTCTCCGCTGGTTTTTCATCTCTATGATTGTCAGAGGCGGGCTGCTTTGACCCGAGAACGTTGGCAACCCTGCTGCGGACAGGTGAGTCCTGAACTCTGAAGGGTGTGAAGGTACAGCCTTTTAGGCAAGGCGAAAGGGAAGTCAGGGCGAAGCAGCTTAAGGGATCTGACCTCCCGCGCCGACCGTTTGCCAGCTCTGGGCTGAGGCGACTTTTCGGGTCTGACGGCATAGCTCACACGCTCAGCTCAGGGGCCTGAGAAGAGTCCTTAGTCGTGTCTGCTTCCCGTCCTCCGCTTTCCTTCACCTCACCTCGTCCCTTTTCGCTGTCCCGGGAGATCTCAGTGCCAAGCTCCCAACCGCAGGGTTCACTTGGGCGCCGTCGTCTCTCGCTTCTGGGGCAACCAGAAGACGCACGGGTGGACTAGACTGGTTCCGCTGGGATTTGTGGATGTGGATGGAAGTGGGTGTTGGGTAGAAGTGCTCTGATGGGTAGAAATGTTAATCATTAAATCGGAAAAAAAAAAGAAGTAGAAAATCACTGGGAACCCGAAGGAGCAAAACAAAGTGCAGCCTTCTTGGACTGTTCAGTTTTTATCTTTTCCAGTGTCTTTCGTTCTCAGTCTCGCTCGAGTTTCCTTCACTATCCCATCCTGGCCCACCGTAGGATGTTTGAGAATGAACCGAGTGTTGCTCTGTGTGAATGTTGAGAGAAGAGTTTAAAATGGGCTGTTCTTAAGTTGCTGTCTCTGCAACCTTAGGGTTTATTTCTTTTTCTTCCCTTTCAGATGCCTTAAGAGTAGGTATTTATAAACATAAGCAGAATACCCGTTTTGTGGCTAAGGGACTAAAGTATTCCCCCTGTTGTATCTGGAAAGATCTGTTTTCTTTGTTAATTTTATAAACGTGTTTATTTCAGTTTCTAAGGTGGTTTGGATATACCTTTGTTCATGTTAAAGCATTCCTTGAGTCATGTGTGCAAGTGACCTAGCAGTAGAAGAAAAGAGTTTGCAGACAAAGTAAACCAATTTGGGGTTTGATAGATGTGGGAGGGTTAAAGTTTAGAGTTAAGTTAAACCATATGACCAATTAATAAAACATCTCCATCTTGAGACATAGGTATTGCCCAGGATGAGGAACATGCTGTCTTTGTGGTGTTGGACAAAGTAATGAGCTGGTTGAGTATCACCTTATCTTAAAAACTTTTTAGAACTTGCCACTCATTTGTAGGAAGATGCCTCTGGCCTCCAGCTGTTCTCTGTACTCACCCTTGATAGGTGATTATCTCTTCAACTTAAGAACTTCACTCTTACTCTTAAAGAACCAACTGAGTGTTGGGGAAGTGGGTGGGGAATGGGCTAGATGAGCTACTGGTAACGATGAGGACTGGGTATTGTATGTAAGCGATAAATCTGAATTCTACTCCTGAAACCAATACTATATTATATGTTAACTAATTAGAATTTAATTTAAAATTTGAAGAAAAAAAAAGAACATCACCCTGGCCGTCTAATTATGTCAAGAAAGTGTCATTGGCGTCTTTTAAGTGTCCTTACTGAAGATTATAAGACAGAGTAATACTAACAAAAAGAGAAGATTCAGGAGTGGGTTCTGAGCTTGGGAAGAAAGGGAAAGAGTGATAGAAGCTAACAAAAGCAAGAGAACAAAAGCATGTATTGCTATTTTCCTTTATAATATATAGACTATTTACTATATTCAGTAGACCTTTTACATTCCCAGAGACTGACTTTCCTATATTTCAGAAGAAACAATGGTATATAACTTCTCCCATAGTGCAATATTATGTAAAATAATTATAACTAAAATATTTCACTGACCTTTCAGGTTTTATATTTTTTAGAATTATAGGACTAAAGTAATTGATAAAGTTATTAAGCCTAATTTGGTCTCCTTCCTTCCTTCCTTCCTTCCTTCTGTAGGCTCCCTAATCAGTGTGGAGCCCAGCTCAGGGCTTGAACTCATGACCCTGAGATCAAGGCCTAAGCTGAGCTTAAGAGTCAGGAGCCTAACTGACTGAGCCACCCAGACCCCTTCTCCTAATTTTGTCACTTTTAATCTTTAGTTTTAGTGAGTAATTTTTATAGTGGCTGTAACACTTGCTGGATGTTAACCAATTTCTTCCCATATAGAATTGTTTAATATATTCCTTTTAAAAATAGAACCATTTTTTTTTGGAAGATTTTATTTATTTATTTGACAGACAGAGATCACAAGTAGGCAGAGAGGCAGGCGGAGAGAGGAAGAGAAGCAGGTTCCCCACTGAGCAGAGAGCCTGATGCGGGCTCAATCCTAGGACCCTGGGACCACAACCCGAGCCGAAGGCAGAGGCTTTAACCCACTGAGCCACCCAGGTGCCCCAAGAACCATTTTTTTAAGAGAACCAATTTTTTTTTTTTAAGTTTGACTTGCAACTACCCCCCCCAACACACTCAAAACAAAAATAGCTTGGTTTTGTGCCAACTGAAAAATCTATTCTTTTAATAGATTTCCTCTACACTTTGAAAATTATGATAAAATTGTTAATGCTTTTAAGACATTAAATACTGGTATCTGAGCATATCTAAGAAGAAAACACAGGGGCAGTATTTTTAAATATATTTCCTATTATAAGAATGTTTGTGCCTGTTTTTGAAAAATGGAAACATTATGGAAAATATAACACTGAAAGTCAAAATCCTAGTTTATCTTTTCCCCTACCAGCAGGTAACCACTAGTCCCCTTTGGATATTTGGGAATCAAACTCCTTGGGAGAGATGATACTAATAGCACCAGACTTACCTGCTACAACCTTCGAAACTCCAAAAGAGAGAGAACATCCCTTTCTCTTTGATTCCAAGAGACTACTACAGGAATTTCATTAACCTGACTGTGTGTCATTGCCCATCCTAGAAGCAGTGTTATGTGATGGAATGCTTTGTGTGGTTAGGATTGGCTCTTGTTCTCACCATGGTGTGATAGAAGCATACAGTTTTATTTTATTTTTTTTTCATACAGTTTTAAACCACATGAATTAAGAGTAAGCAACATCAGGGTGCTTGGCAGACTCAATCGGTAAAGCATCCCGATCTCGTTGTGGTTGTGAGTTTGAACCCATGTTGGGTATAGAGTTTACTTAAAAAAAAAAAAAAAAAAAAAAGAGTAGGCAACTGAAGTATGGTTCCTCTTTACGAAAACTGAGGTGTCATTTCCTGGAGAGGAGGGAAAGGTTGCTGGACAGACAAAAACAACATATGTTCACTGATACAATTTTACGTGTATTTTTTTTAATTTAGAGAACTTGCTTTCCTTTTCCAATATAAATTAATTGCATTTTACAGTTTGAGGTTTTTTTTTTTAATGTCTGTTTTTAAAAATGTCTATTAACTAATGGAACTTGGAAATTTAAACTCTTCAAGTAGCATGTATTTGTTATATGTTTAGTACCTGTGCTCTGGAGTATTTGGCTTTTTTAACTTTAAATATATTGTGTATTTAGCCCGTTTGTTAAAATCATTTATTGATAAATATTTTTATTACTGTGGATAAACTTGATTAACAAATTGCAGTTTATAAATAGTAAATAAAAATGTTCTGAGTAATTTAAGTATACGTAGTTACTATGGTTGAATGCTTGATTCTTTTAATTATTATGTATTTAAAAAATCTGTTTGTATAGAAAACCACTTCATTTTGAGTGTTTTATGAAAAATAAATCACGCTAATTGTCACAACTTGATGTCATTGGGTATTAACTTTAAAACTATAGTCGACATTAATGCCTGCTTTTGTATCTTTATGGATTATTCTGATGGTTCATTACATTTTAAGAGAAAATATAATTGAAGTAACATTGTTTACTCCACTGCCTTGATTTTGTTTAAAAGAAATGTTAGTAGTTCAATTCAGTGGACATTTGAACTTAATTGCTAACACAAACTTTAGTTTAGACAGATTTATATTCTCAAACCCAATTCCATCACTTCTTAATGTTGAGCAAGTTATTTAATCTCTCAGAATTTGAGTTTATTCCATCTGCAAAATAGAAATAATAATACTTATCTCATAGGGGTCTTGTGAGGAGTAAGTTAATGTATGCCAAGTGCCTAGGATATAGTAGGTTCTTACTGAATGTAATTGTTAAGAATAACAACAACAAGAAATAGTGTCTAAAAAGATTTTATCTCCCCAGTTTCAGAATGTTTAGCCCCAAGAATTTAAATGTATATATAGGTGTTAAGGAATTAATCAGATTGTTCTTTCTTCAGATTTGTTTTTATTTTAGCAGGGGTTGTGTTTTTGTTTTTGTTTTTTAAGCAGGCTTCACCACCCCCAGCACGGAGCCCACTGTGGGATTTGAACTCAAAATCCTGAGCTCAAGACCTGAGTTGAGATCAAGAGTCGGTCACTTGGGCCCCTTGGTGGCTCAGTGGGTTAAGCCTCTGCCTTCCGCTCAGGTCATGATCTCAGGGTCCTGGGATCGAGTGAGTCCTGCATCGGGCTCTCTGCTTGGCAGGGAGCCTGCTTCCTCCTCTCTCTCTCTCTGCCTGCCTCTCTGCCTGCTTGTGATCTCTCTCTCTCTCTCTGTCAAATAAATAAATAAATCTTAAAAAAAAAGAAAAAGAAAAAGAAAAAGAGTTGGTCACTTAACTAAGCCACAATTTTAGCAGATTTTTAATACCATGTTGCACATGTAGCAATTAACTAGAAAACTTTGTTTAAATTACTTAATTATTAGTGGACTGCCCAAGTATTTGAAGGTTGCCTGGCCCAAGTGTGACGACTATTAGTCTGGAGGAATGTATTGAGAGATTTTTGCACAAATGCTCAGAAAAGCTTAATATTAAGTAGAAGGTCTCATATTCCTTGACTATACAAGGGGAGTTAGGTGCTGAGTACCTTGGGTGTTCAGACCAGAATTTATGATGACTTGTGGTAGTAGGCAGAAATAATAAAAATGGATTTGTTTTTATTTTTAAAGATAAGTTCAGGGAGATACTTCTGTGAAGTAATGCTTTAAGAACATGTTACATCGGGCACCTGCAGGTAGAAGAGATAGGTAGCAGTTTGGAATGTTACTTGAAAAA